TGCTGTCCAGGAGGATTGGAGCCATGTGGAACGGGTAACGCACTGCTGCAACTCGCGCCACTCCACCACCCGCTCCTTCCTCTTCCGGCAACTCATTTGCATAGCCGGCTTCCTGGGAATAATCCCCAGTCATCCCCCGGTAAGCTCGACCCTCCCCTCCCTTTGTCGAGTCGGTGGTCCGCCGCTCTGTTTCAATTTCAATTAGAAACTTCAACTGCTTTGCTGGCTTCCTCGCCAGGCGGATTCGCCGCAGCTCAATTAAGTTCCCTTCGCCGCCGCAAAGTTGGGGCACCGCGAGAAGACTTCGCCATTGTCGAGACGAAACGAGGCTGCACTTAGCAGGCAGCCAAGGTGTGTCTGTCTGCGTGTGCGTCTGACGGGTTAATCTCTGCATAAGGTGGGACTTGGCTGAACCGTTTTCATTACGTATACGCACTGCTGTTGCACGGATCACACGGTCTATCAACTGGAATTGAATCCAACTGTGAAGCGGGGATTAGAAGACGGGAAATGAAGTTCCCTAGGAAATGAAGTTTCAGTTTAGCTCTCATTTGGGTCACCCCTCGAACCGGATGAGGTCTCCACAGCTGCAAGTTGCAGGCCTCAAGCAAAGCACAAGATGCTGGTCTGCTGGGGCGCGGCAGGAGTTGACTTAAGTGCGCATAATTCAGGTTCGAAAGTGGCACAAGGATTAGGTGATGCCCAACGGATTAGGATGCCCTCCTCGGCTTCCTCCTGCTCCAAGACACAACTCGCACTGAAAGTCATTGGTTCGCCAGCTCATCGGGAGAGCATGAAGTGCATCCCCTCACTGAGACTCCCTCCTTTCAGCGCGCAGTAACTCCCCAATTGTCGCACCTTGCTGATTGACTGGCCAGATTTCCCCTCCCCGCCTCCCGGATTTCCACTCCACTCAACCACCCTTTCCAGCGAACCGACTGAATGAGTGACTGACTGACTGACTGACTGAGCGACTGACTGATGGATGGATCCTCTGGCTGACGGGGTAACAAACTGGCAAGCTGACATCCCCACTGCAGGTTGTCTTCAATTTTAATAAATTTCCCTCGCATGTAAGCAAGCGCGACAGTTGACAGCTGCAGCTTCGTTTCCCATTTCGTTTCGATGGGTGGATGGTTGGGTGGGTGGATGGGTGGTGGGGAGCGGAGTGGCGTTGCATGGCTCGGTGTCCTTTGTCCTTGTCCGTTCCTGAACAGATCGGTTGGGGTGGTGTTGGGGTTGTGAGGGAGTGGAGCTTTGTTGCCGCTGTTTTTGGCACAGTCTGTAACAATTACATGACCCACTGTCTGCCCCACTGCCGCATGGGTGGATGGGTGGTTGGGTGGATGGGTGGCAGGAGGAGCAGGAAGGAGTGCTGACCTGCCAAGGACATTGCAACGGCGACGTGCCACTGCGACGTACTGCTCACGGGGCGACGGGTCACGCTCTCGCCACATTTATTTCTGTGCACTTCCTCCCACGCCATCGTTACCCAACCTCCAGCGCCCTTCTAAGCCACCTCGTGCAGCTTCGCTCAGAGGAGAGGGTGGTGCTGGGTGGTGCTGGGTGGTGCTGGGTGGTGCTGGATGGTCCGGGGTGGTGCTGGGTGGTCCGGGGTGGCACTGTGCCAGCACAGAAACGTGTTGCACACAACAGTTCGCTCGCTTTTTGCGATAAAACCTCGGTGGCACAGCCAAAACTCATTTCGTTTCAGCGCAGAAGGTTTTTGCTTTCGCTTTTCCAGCCGCCCATAATGTAGCATAGCAGGTTTTCAAAATTGGGAAAAATCATAAGCATTTTTCCTACGAATTTTCGGCAGCTGTTGTGAGAGGCACCCCTTTAATTTCCCCTTCCGCGGGGCAGGAACTGTTGCCATAAAAGTCCATAATGGCAGCTCACCCACTCCATCGCTCCATCGCTCCATCGCTCCAGTCGCTCCATTAGCATAATGACCCACCTTATGGGGTGTAAATCATCCGAGGCGTAAGCTCGCAGCCAGGTAAACCAGGTGAACCAGGTGGGCCGAAATGGCAGCGGGGGAAGCACGGGAAGCGGGGGAAATAAAGTTTAAAAATCACATTGCTAATTCATAAACAAGCCACTTGACTTTGCCGCTTTTGTGCCTCGATTCCAGCCGAAAGGGCGAGTTGAGCAGAGAATGTGCCGATATATCAAAGGAATTGCTTATGCAGATTCCAGCGCCACGGGGCAGCCCCTTTTGCGGCTGCCACATTAGCATACATCTGCATTTGTGTATCCGAGTGTACTATATGCTATAAACTCGTGCCTATGATTCACGCCCGACTCGCAGAGATTGGAGCTTGGAGATGGAGATGGAGATGGAGGCACTTGAAAGGGCCGCAGGCGCTGATTGGGTTGATACCGCGGGCAGGAGGAGCTCCTCAGCTGCTCTTCATCTCAGATAGCTACGATTAATCGCTGGCTGGGAGGCCAATAAGGGAGGGAAATGAAGATGAAGACGCCTTCCTTTGAGCTGGCTGAGGGGCATTATGGTTGGGATCCCAGGAAGGAATCAGCGCACATTATGCACTTACAATTTGTTCTCGATCTGGTCGGGGGTATGCAAATAGCACAGCCAACAGCCAACAGCCTCAACTTACAGCTGGCAAGTACTGTATCTACTGTATCTACTGTATCTACTGTATCTACTGTAGCGAGCAGAAGTGGAGGAGTGAAGGAGTGTTTACTTGGAGGAGAAGGCAGGAGAAGTACAGGTGCTTTGTGGAACCCAAAACGAAGGGATTCTTTCAGTTCTTCAGTTCTGAGCTGCAAACAGAGCACCTTTGGGGGGAAAAGCAGAAGGGAGAAGGGAAAGGATGCGTTGTCCTAATTAGTTTGTCGCACTACGAAAACGCAAACACAAAAGTTAAACAAGCACAAAGAAGTCTTTGCAGCGCTTTGCGAATTCACTTATTCTTGTGTTTAACTTGCACTCGCGTCGCCGCGCCTCCACAGAGCGTCTTTATTATAATTAAAAACAAAGCGTTGCTGGAGGAGCAGCGTTGCAGCGTTGCAGAAAAGCAGCAATCTTAGGAGCAACGTGGCCACAAACAGCGGCAACATAAAGGCACTACAGGGGGAATGTAGAATGTGCAGTGCAGTTCCCATGGTCTGCTGACTGCTTCTGCCAAATACGAACTCGTTTGAGAGTTTTTAAATGGTTAATCAGACACAAAAGATTATCACTAAGGTAAAGTATGTAACAGGCTGGGTATTATTTATGTATACTAACTTATATTCCCTGCAGTTCCAAAACTGCTTTGTCGTCGATGAAATGTGCGAAGCCGCACCGACGACAGCGGGGGTAGGAACCGTTGCCGCAACGACGACATTTCATAAAGACATTTTATATGGCATTGCCGTTTTCGGTATACATGTGTTCTAAGAGTGAGCAAGAGAGGGAAACTTAGGAATATCCCTTTTCCTTTCCTACACACATGATTGGTAATTGCCACAATTCACTTGTGAACAGCCAGAACTGCAGGGTTATTATTATATTACTTTGTAAACGCTGGTCACACTTCTGATCTCTCGAGAGAGGATGTGCTCTCTCGAGAGAGTAAGAAGCTGAACATAAACGGGGGTTGAAAGTTAGCTGCCTGCGAGCAGTGAGTCAGTTCGTATTGGAAGTTAAAAGAGAACACAATAAAGAAGATCCTGATACAAGTAGTAGTGTGTTGACTGCTTCTGCCAAATACGAACTCCTTTGTGAGTTTTTAAGTGGTTTATCAGACACAAAAGATTATTACTAAGGTAAAGCAGTAGTAGTGTGTAGTAGTTGCATTTGCTTTGGCCACTTCATCTGAAAAGTATGCTATAATTCGCAAACCCACTCATGAAGTGTAAATATATCGGCGAGTTGCAAATACTGCTCTTTTGCCTCAGATAAATATATAGGATTTTCCTGCAAGTGGTTGGTTGAATTAACAAGACCTAAATACTGATGTCTTCATAATGGTTGTAGTTGCCGCGGGTAATCAAGGGACAAATTGTTTTAGAAAGCAAATCCGTTGGGCCCTTAAATCGCAATTAAGAGATGATTCACATTGGGGTGTAATTTGACCGGAGTAATCTCTTTGAAAATCACCTCCCCTTGTGGAGCTAGTTAATTAAGTGGTTATTAAATAACTTAGATGCTTGTTTCTCGAACCTGCAAATATCCCAGCTTGGTAACAGGACAACTCAGTGGAAAAGATAAAATACAATTCACAAATTGGTTCACAAGGACTAGTCCTCCTTAGACTAAACATAACTTCACGGGATTTCACCGAAGCCACAAGAATTATCCCACCAAGTTGCTAAGCAGCCTATACAAAACAAATTAAATTAATTTAAAAATATGCCACGGCATCAAAGTTAGCATTCAACGCTGAACGCGAAGAAAGTCACCATTAATTCCTACACACATTTTGCTGATAATTAAAACAAAATAGCAGTGAGATTTCCGGAAGATTACCTTCCCCCATATAATGCCAGCATCCCTGGGATCTGCTCTGCTCGTCGCTTTTCCGATCCCTTAGATATTTTTGTACCAGCTCCTCGTTAGCCGCTGATTACCTGATGGAGAAGCGGAGCAGGCGCAAGGTGGCTTTGGTCTGGTTCTTCCCTCTGCAGGAGTCAGAGGAGAGCCCTGCTGCGTGGCACCGATTGGGCTCAGCTCTTGCCCCAGTTGCGTCCTTCAATATACTTGGGGACAGGATTCGGGGAGGATAGCACACGAGGAGTATCTAGAGCCAGCAAATCCAGCAAACTCCCGAGCGAGTGGCGCGTGTGCTGCCTGTGTTTTTAATGTCGCGTTGTCTCCAGTTTTCAAGCTGCCACAAGCAGCAGCAGCAGCAGCAGCCGCCCGCGAGGCATTAAACATGTAAACGCTTTACGGCCACCGCGGCGAATACTTAATTTATGACATAACGCATACGCACCGTGCGCCCTTCGCTGTTCGCATATGATTAAGTCTCCCTGTTTTCTTCCTCTCGCAGGTGAACGTGAGCAACACCTGGACGATGCCGCAGGAGGGTCTGAGCGTCTTCTATCGCTTCTTCCGCGATCGCATATCCTGGTTCGAGGCGGACGCCGTTTGCCAGTTCCACCACGCCAATCTGGTCACAGGTAACTTACAATGTGGACGCGGGTGTGGGTGACGCAAAAAGGACCCTGCAACTGGACTGAACCTGGGAACTCAGACTGAAATGGCACGTTATCGGAGTGGAGGCTCCGGCCAACGAGCGCCTCCTCGCAGCGCATGCATCTGGATTGCAGAAATTGCAGCTCAAAAAGGGGGCCACAGGAAGGGGGGGGATGGGGAAGGTTGTCGGGGTTTCCATGTGCCATGGAAACGCTGCCATTGTGACGCAACCACAATCAAGTCTCTGATGTGAAAGGCTCTCGAAAGCTTTGCAGTAAAACAAACCCCATTTACCGCAGCGCTTTTGATTTTAATTTTCTTGTGGGGCCCGAGCCCCGCCAAACGAGCTTATAATGCAATAAATCCTGCTGACAAATGCGGTGGCTTCGGAGGAAAGGCTACCATTGGGAGGACGGATGGGGATGGGGATGGGGATGGGAATGGGGATAAGGATGGGAAGTGGGCCACTGCACTAGCTCGAAGTACTAGCAACGGATGCTGGATGGAAGGCTGTCCCGTGAACTGTGATATATTCCTCAGAACCGGACCAGTTTCACTGGCGATACAAGTGTTTCAATTTTAAATTCAATTAGAGCTCGTTCCTGGAGCAGGCAGAGGATTGTAATTTGCAAACTTTCGGCGATATGCAAACGTGGGCAGGGTGCATGTGTGGGAGCAGATAACAGACAAACAGAAACAAAAAGCCGAATACTGAAAACTGAAAACTAAGAGCTGAGAACAAAAAACAACGCGAATGGAAACAGAAATAATTTGTCCGAGCGTTTTGTTAACAATTTCTGCTGTCACGGGAGGGAAACTGGGAGTTGGTGGTTGATCCCACTGCCCCAAAACCGAATAAAAAACAAAAAAACGAGGCAAAACAAAGGACACACAGGACGAGGAACAGAGCACAGGACACCGAACTGAGAACTGGGAACACAAAGCACAATGGACGAGGCGGGTTTAATAGAAATACTCTGTGTAGAACAAATAAAAACCATTTGTCGTCTCGTTTTCATTTGAACTGTACGTATTCCCTCTGCTCTTCCTCTTCCTCTTCCGCTTTTCCGCTCTTCCGCTCCGCTTTTCCCAATGTCCTGTCTTCGCATCCACGTGTGTGTGTGTGTGTGTGTGCGTGTGTGGGAATGCGGCGGCGTCTACTCAGTCGACAACAGTTTCCAATTCGATGCGACGCGCGACCTACTGCGGGAATTGGACGTAAACGACATCGTTTGGATTGGTCTCATGCGACCGCAGAACTCGGATCGTTTCATGTGGTCGTAAGTACAACAATGGCACAACAATAGCAACAACAATAGCAACGGCAATAGCAATAGCAATGGCAATGGCAATAGCAATGGCAATGGCAGTGGCAGCGGGGACATCTATGTTACATCAACACCAGCTCAGCTAGAAGGCAGCCGCTTTCCAGTCAGGGATACACTTAGAGATACAGCAGATACACAGATACAGCAGATATACAGATACAGATAGAGATCCCAGCATGCAATATGAGCGTTTTCGGAGCGTTTTTTGAACCTTTCTTTTGGGTAAAAACACCCATAAAGTGTTCCGAAAAGATACCGGAAAGAGCGTTTTTCCCCTTGAAAATGGTCCGTCATAAGGATGGTAATTTGAGAGTCCGATAAGTGCTCTTTTTTGAATCCTAAATAGGTGCTTTCACCCTCCGAAAACGCACCGAAATCGCTCTAAAATATGTGTTAACTCAAAAAACGATCCTAAATCGCTCTGAAATATGTGTTTACTCCGAAAACGCTCCTAAATCGCTCTGAAATATGTGTTTACTCCAAAAACGCTCCGAAGCAGGGCTCTTTTCAGACACCTAATTCGGAGCGCTCCTAACTTTGCATGCTGGGCAGATCCAGTTACAGATACAGTTACAGATACAGTTACAGATACAGTTACAGATACAGTTACAGATACAGTTACAGATACAGATAGAGATACAGTTACAGATGCAAAGCTATGGACACGTGGTTCAGGGATGCATCCGCAGGGAATTCAGTCCCAATTTCCCACTGGGCAGACATGTATTGTGTTTTGTAGTGTTGTGTAGTGTTTTGTAATGTAGTGTAGTGTTGTGTAGTGTAGTGTAGTGAAGAGTAGTGTACTGTGGTACGAACCCATTTAAAATAACTAAGACAAGGCTGCCGGGTATCGGGTATCGTAAGCCAAAATAAAAAGGAGACTGTAACAGCTTGGGTTTTCCACGTACGACAGAGTTAATTACAAACGAAGTAAACCAACGTACGAATTAAAAGCAGGCGGGGAATTGAGTAGCAAAGAGTAAGCCGGGAGGATCAGAGACTCTCCAAGTAGAAGTTCAGTTAGGCACTCTGCAGACGGGTTAAACCAATTACCAGGAACGAAACTAACCCTCGGTAACTTACGATGTGACTAGGAACTCGCGTCCCCTGGTGGCGGACACTGGATACTGGGCGGAGTCGCTGCCCCTGATGGACGCCCCGCTCTGCGCGGTGATCGACCCCATTCGCGACTACCGCTGGCACGCCCTCCGCTGCGGCGGACCGGAGACCGCCTCCTTTCTCTGCGAGATGCCAGGTAAGCCGCCGCTGCCCCGCTGCTCCCAGTCCGTTTAGACGCCGCAACCTCTGCCCTTTGCCACTTTGCCTCCCACAGTGCCCAGCTGGGCGGACGCCTGCATTCTGAAGGACATGCCCAACCTGACCCTGCAGTACATGGCGGACACGGCCAGCATCGAGCTGATCCGCAACTGCCACGAGGAGGGTCTCCTGCGGCACACCTGCAGGGGCAAGGAGGTGAGTTGACTGCCACATCAACCAAGTATTGGTACAAGTGGAAAGGCATTCCTGTACTTATATAGTATGTTCCTATGTGCATTTGGATCCCCTTCCCTCCACTCCTTCCTCTCGTTTCCAGGACCGCGAGCACGCCATCCGACAGCTGATCTGCCCGAAGGAGCGCATGGAGGCGCAGCGCATCAACGACATCACCAGCTCGCACTTCAAGTCGCTGCAGATCATCAAGAGCATCCGCACCGACAACAAGGAGAACAACGACATCGACCTGCTGCCCAACTACGGACGTCGCCCCGCAAACCCACCAGCTCCCGGTGCAGAGGTGCTGCCACCGGAGGCTCCTTCCCCCGCCTCCGGGCTGGGTGAGCTAATGCAGGCGGATGCTCCGGGCGCGGTCTCGCCCTCCGGACTGTACCGCATTCCGGATCTGGTGCCCAAGCCGGTCAAGAAGCTGGCCAAGAAGGCGACGACGCCGGACTTCGCCAAGAAGATCCAGAGCAACCACCAGCAGCACAGCCAGCAGCAGCAGCAGCAGAAGTCGCGCAAATCTCTGCCCCGCGAGCAGCAGCAACAGCAACAGCAGCAGCAACAGCAGCAGCAACAGCAACATCAGCAACAGCGACAGCAGCAGCAGCAGCAGCAGCAACAGCAGCAACAGCAACAGCAGCAGCAGCAGCAACACGAGGAGGAGATGATGATGGGCGACCAGCCGCAGCTCAGCGAGGAGCAACTGCCCCCGGAACTGGGAGTGCCACCCAACGAGGACAGCAGGGACGCCTCCAACGAGATAATCGAGCATCTGCCGCACAAGAAGAAGGTCCTGCCGCAGGACCTGCGCACCAAGGCGCCGACTGTGCAGGCAGAGCCGCTGCTCACGTCCACGACAACGCTGAAGACAACCACCCTGGCGGCTCCTGCCACGGCGGCTCCTCCCACGAGTACAACCGCAGCAGCAGGAGCAGGAGCACCAAAGCCGACCACAACTACAGCAGCAACAGCAACAACCACAACAACAGCAACAGCGGCGGCAGAAACGTCTGAAGTGGCAACCAGAGCAACAGCAACCACCACTTGGCCATCCACAACCACTGGCCATCAGCAACGCAGCAGCAGCGCAGCAAGCACTCTTCGGTCGGGGGAAACAACCACCCGAACACCGGAGAAACCGGAGCCAACAACGAAAACAGCAGCAGGAGCAGCAGCAACAACAGCAACAGCAGCAACTTCAACCACGGAAAGGGCAACAACGGACGGGGCACAAAGAAGCAGCAGCAGCAACAACAACGTGGCCCACCCCATCCACCCCTCGCAGCAGCAGCACCACCAGCACCAGCAGCAGCAGCAGTTGCACGACGGCTCGGCGGTGCAGCAGCAACATGCAACGCACTTAAACGAGTCCGCCGACAACGCGCGCTTCATTCCGCCGATGCTGCTGGTGAAGTCGCACTACGTGCCACCGGCGAAGCACGCCAGCGAGCATGCAACCGCAACAGGAGCCCCAGCAACAGCAACAGCAACAGCAGCAGCAGCAGCAGCAACAGCAACATCAACCGAAGCAACAGCAACAGCAACAGTGATAGCAACTGCAGCTGACACTGTGGCAACAGCAACCTTGACGGCGACAACAGGTGCAGCTGCAACTGCAGCAGCGGAGGTGACAACAAGCATTAAAACAACAGCAACACCGACAGCAGCAGCAGCAACACCGACAGCAGCAGCAGCAACACCGACAGCAGCAGCAGCAACAGTAATTGCCAGTGAAGCGCCAAAAGCGAATGGAATCGAATCGAATGGGACAGCAGCAACATCGGTTGCAACACCAGCAACAGCAACAGCAACAGTAGCAGTAACAACAAGAACAACAACCACGACAACAACAACAACAACAACACCATTTCCGAGGCCACTTAGGGAGTTCACGATGCCGCCACTGAATCAGGGATCCTTCAAGGTGGACAACAACGGAATGGGCAGCCCCGAGGAGGAGGACGAGGAGGAGGAGGGAGTGGCCGTGGGCGAGGGCGAGGGCGAGGGAGAGGGGGAGGGGCAGGGGGAGGCGGCCACCACGCGGCACAACTTCCTGGAGGAAACCGATGCGCCGTTCAAGCCGAACCGGCGACGCTCGCTCACCAAGCCGGAAACGGTTAGCTACTTCAAGAAGATCTTGGGCTAGGTGCTGCATCCGCAACCACATCCGCAACAGCATCCGCATGAGCATCCGCATGAGCATCCGCACTAGTAAACCGTAATCGTAATCGCAACAGGAGCAAACTGTTGACCCATGAATTAGAGTAAGAAGTGCACTCCCTGCAGCGAACCGCTGGCCCTTTCCCCCTTCCCCTCTCCGCTTTCCCCCTTTCCCTTAGGAACCCATTAGCCCACTAACCCGACGAAGGAATCCCTCGGAGCACCCGACTCAACTGGACGCCACCAGTTGCAAGTACCGAAATGTGTCAATTTTCCACCGAGAGCGGAAAGGAAACAGAATCAGAAAAAGAAGAAGAAGAAGAAACCAAACAGAAAGTGCGAAGTTCGAAGTTCGCGAGGCGGGGAAAAGCAGAGGAGCAAGAAGGCCAGAGGAGATTGAGGGAGGAGCAGGGAGTGTGTGCGATGCAAGGCCAAATTAAGATACGATAGATACTAGGGAAGAGTGTCTGGAGCACGAACCGCGGCGTCTGCTTTGGATTTCCGAGGAGCGTTCGCCTTCCTTCGAGCGACATGCGGTGGCAAACTCGAAGTGGAGAGCTGAATAGCGAACCAGCAGAAGAAGTGGCACTCCATCTCCAGTTCTGAAAACGGATTGAGAGGGCATTAATAAAGAGGCTTTGGGAATCCAAAACAGAGGTCGCAATGCAAGTTACATGTTTACCTTAAACTATAAAAATATGCAACACATACGTTTTTTTTTTTTTTTTTGTGTCCATACAAATTGTGTAAGTGATGGAGGAAACTTTAGAAGGAGCGAAGCGAAAGGAAGGCAAACACACATAAGCACACTTAAGATTAGGCTAAAACTTAACAAATTGAATTTGAATTCGAAACAGTCGGAGGTTCCCAGAATTCCCAGAAGAAACCGAAACCGAAACGGAAACGGAAACGGAAACGGAAACGGAAACGGGAATGTTTGTAGGTACTTGAGGTCAACTGGCAGATTAACACGGTTCCGTTGGGTCGCTCTATCGAAAAATGTAGAAAAATAGCATAAATGTAAACCGAGTAATTGAATTATGAATAAACAGAAACCCCTTCAAGAAGTTTGGAGTGGAGTGCGCTTGACTGGGGAAGGGCTGAACGTGCAGAGGTAAGTGGGAAAACCCATCGGGAACGATCTCTACCTGAAAGGAGCCAGAATGGGTAACCCGGAATGGGAGATCTCCTGCTTCTGGTTTCTGGTTATTGGTTACTGGTTGCTGGTTACTGGTTACTGGTAACTGGTTACTGGTAACTGGTTACTGGTAACTGGTAACTGGTTTCTTTTTCCTTCTCCTTCTGCGTTTTTTTGGTCCGGCAAGTGTGGCTATTAAACTGAACTGGCACAAAGGGGAAAGCGAACCATGAACCGCCGCCTCTCGGCTAATCCTTCTCAATAGCCGAGGCTACAATCACTCCCCCCCCGCCTCCTCCGCTCCCATTTGCACTCCGCGGAGGAGATGTAAGTGCGTCGGCGGAGAGGATTCCCCGAAGGAAGCCTCGGGGTTGCACCGCGTCGTCGGGCGGCAGCCAAACGGCAATAAACTTCAACTGCGTCCTTTCCCTCCTCCCAGTTGTCGTCCCAGTTATCCCAGTAGCAGCAGCAGTACCAGTTCTCCTCGTCGTCCTTGTCATCCCCTGTCATCCGAAGCCCCGTGCGCCTTGTGGCTTTTTTCGGCGGAGCAATGGCAACCGGATGCGGAACCAATTTAACGATGCCATTTCCGAGCACCGAAAAGTCGGACCAGAAGTCAAGGAGGCGGCTGCAGACTCTCTGCGGAAGCCATTGGCATGGTGGATGTGGGAGGAGCTGCTTCCGCTTCCCACAAAGTTCTTCCTTCGCCAGCGATATTTTGTGGATGTCTACCCAGTCTACCCGGCCCACACGTCTCTGCTATTCTCGGATCCCATTATCGATTTCTAGAAAGAGCTCCATGCTCCACGCTCCACGCTCCATGCTCGATGCGGCTAACCACGATTCTAGTGGGGTTAACGCCCGATGCCCGATGGCCGGTGGCCGGTGGCTGCCAATTAGATTATGCCGAGTGAGTGATTTCTCTGCACTTCGAGCTGCAGATGATTAAAGCCCCACCATTTCGATACCGCTTCGCTGTTTATTTCCGCAGGGAGTGCTCCTTACATTGGCAACCGTTTAGCCAAACGATACCTTGCATTCTAAGTCAGAAAGTATCTGGTTTGGCTTTCGAGTTTCCAGATTTAGTAAACTAGTAGGTAGCACAGTGCTCCCACTGGGTCCAGCGTAACCACTAATACGTGTCTCCTCGAATCTAGAGCCATTTGAAATTCGTTTGGCTTGTCAGCAAGTTCGAAATTGCCGAGAGAAGGTACAGTTACAGCACCGGAGAGGTGACCCCAATGGAGATGGAGACGGCAGCTCCCGCTCCACTATCCGATCTCGAGCTGGTGTCGCTGAAACCCGTGAGGATCGAACCCAGCCCGGACGAGGAGGAGTCCTCCAGCTGGCAGCCGCTGTTCCGCTCTGTCCTGCCGACCTGTCGGAAGAAGTCCGACCTGCTGATAGCCCTCACCCACTTCCTGCTCACCAAGGAGTACCGTCTGCGGTGCACCTCGAGGTGCAGCGTGGCCAGTGGCCCACTGCCCGACCACTGGAACCGGGACACCCAGCGGTACTCCCTCGAGTACTCCGACGAGCAGGGCAGCCAGCAGTACCTCCTGCTGGCCAAGCTGAGCCGCAGGGACCTGGTGATCAGCCTGCAGAACTCGACCAGCCGGCGGATGTTCGTCGCCTGCCTGCAGCCCGAGCTCCTCGTGAGCTCCACGAAGGACGACCTCCTGGAGAAGTGCATCCCGAGGGCGGGCAGGATTCTCAGACGGCTGCGCTCCGACCTGGTGGATCCGGTGGTGCGGGGCACCAAGCGGCTGTCCGACGCTCCCTTTCCGGCTGGAGCACCTGCCACCAAGCCCTCCAGGGTGACCTTCAACCTCGCGAAGTGCTCCCCTGGCGAGGAGTCCTTCTAAGCGGCTCTGTTTTACCCACGAGAGATCTCCTTCGGGGAAACTGATTTTATCCTATAACGAGAGGGAGCGAGCAGCAGCACTTCCCTCAAGCGAGGATCGCAAAATTCTCCTTTTAAATAGATGAGATGAACAGAAATTCCAGCTTCACTCAGTGCGTATACTCAATATGTCATAGGTCATTACTCATACGCAGAGTAGTCATCCGAAATGCGTTTAACAATGATTTAGTAAGCTCTTTTTGGGAGTGGAGGGGTCGCGAAGTGCTCCCCTGGCGAGGAGTCCTTTTAAGCGGCTCTGTTTTACCCACGAGAGATCTCCTTCGGGGAAACTGATTTTATCCTATAACGAGAGGGAGCAAGCTCGATGATGATGGCACTTCCAGCAGCACTTCCCTCAAGCGAGGATCCCAAATTCTCCTTTTAAATAGATGAGATGAACAGAAATTCCAGCTGTACTCAGTGCGTATACTTAATATGCGGACATTACTCATACGCAGAGTAGTCATCCGAAATGCGTTTAACCATGATTTAGTAAGCTCTCTTTGGGAGTGGAGGGAGGGTGGCTCCTCACTCCCAATCCCTCTCTGTCACGGATGACTGCCATTATTGTTGCTCCGCATTTAATATTTATTATATTAATATTGCAGTCCGTGCAAATTCCATAAAGTTCCGCAGTGTCATTGGGCAGTCAGCGGTCGCTCCGCAATCGGTTGGTTTGGTTCGGTTTGGTTTCGCTTGGTTTTAATTTTGTTGCACATCTGCGGATGTATTATTCAGTGTTGACAGTATTTCTGTTGATGCAGCTGCGGCTGTGGCAAAATAGACGTTGATGTGCAGCGGAAACCAGCCGGACCGAACCGCAAATAACAAAGCCAAACGGCCCCCCTCCACGTACATTCGGTGAGTTGAAACCACTGCTTAATGGAATATGAATACCGAAACCAATTTCGGCGGAAGACCCTAAATAATTGATAGCTCGTCCCTTGCTTCACTCTCTGTCGTGCAAAGTTATAGAGATGTTGGCGGAGAACGGAGGCATCTTCATAAAGCAATCCACGGATCAAACCAAAGATCCAACTAACTGATATTACAAATTTGGTGCAAGTGCAGGAATCCAACCACCTTTGGAGTGCCTGAAAGGTGAAAATTGAACGTTAATCAGCCAGCAATCAATTTCCATTCCCGAAACAGTCGCGTGCTTTTAGGCAATCCATCCATCATCGACCACCATTCGCATTCGCATCCGCATCCGCATCCGCATTCAGTGTCCATTATCCGCGATCCATGCGACTAATCGGGGTGTTGGCTGCGTTGACACGGGTTTCCACTTGAGCCGCCCTCTTGGCATCCCCTTACCCCTGCAACCCCCGTACTTCTATCCCCGGAAAACCCATCTGGCCATCTTGCGTGCAGGCAATTACAAAGTTTTGGGCGCTGCATTTAATTAGGAGGGCAGCAATTGGCCATCAGGCAACGGGATTGGCAACAGTCGCTGACGACGGAGCAAACCTTTGGCTGACCGCTGGCGGGGATTTCTAGCAACAAGAGTGGGGAGTGGGGAATGGGGAAGGGGGAGTGGGGTGGAGGGATGGAGGGTCGAGGTAATAGAGCACGGGCCCAACGATCCGCTTAATTGAATGCCCTCGGCGAAAAAGGAGAAATCCACAAAGAAACAGACCGAAAATAATTGGCCGCTTCCCCGTTTTCATATCGACTCGTTAGCTACCCTTTCCCAAAATGAGTTTTATCTTTGGAAAATAAATCCGAATAAGCAGGTGTTCCCAGGATATTTACTTGAAGAACAACGTGCGAGCTCCCCAGCAGTTTCCCCAAATTTAAATTGCCTGCAAGGATGCGAAATAAATGTGGTTTTACGTGCACACTTCTCATTCGCCCGGTGCAGCCCTCTGGAAAATGGCAAAAAACATGTTGAAAGATAAAACTGAAGTAGAGTAAATGTTATATACTGTGTTCGCAGCTGCAGGACGAGCAGGATGGGTACAGCAGAAAGGAGAAAGGAGAATGGGAAGGTCCTTGTCCCAAGCATTTCGCCTCGACTTTGGCGCTCCCCCGCCAGCTGTTTGCTGATGGCAAAGCTCAACCAAATTTATGTTGGCTTAGACGGAGCGGCCCAGATGCACCGTCGTCAGGGAAACTCGTCCTTTTTTTTTTTTTTTGGTTAATCCTGCACGGCCGCTAAGGACCTCTTTGTGTCCCCTGTTCCCGAATCTGAAGGCAAAGAGCGAAAAAGTGCACCTTTTGTCATCCAATTATCAGCTGTGTACTAAGAAAGGGGTGAACCCTACTTAAGTGTGTAATACATACGAGTTTTCATGGAGGAAAAACGCAATTGAAAATAACTTTGAACTCCACTGATCACAGGGAACAGCTCATCTTTCGCCATTTTTCAGAGTGCCACTCACGCATCTCGCCGCAGTGTGAATTTCGGAACAGTTTGAAGGGTGGCTGTGACTGTTCGCCTCACCCCCTTGGGGGTTTGCCACCCCCCCCCCCCCATCCCCTTCCCCTCTCCTCCCCGCCAGTGTCACCAATCAAGACGCGTTGGCTGTCAATTACGCAGTCCGCGGAGACAAGGACGAGCAGACAGGACTTTTCCCTCGGAGGTGCGCGGTTTGATAATGATGGATACGCCGACAAATGAGCGGTGGGTGGTGGGTGGTGGGTGCTGTTCACTGGTGGGTGGGTGGTGCCAGTGGGTCCAAAGCATCGCATTACCACCCATCAACTGGAATTCCGGCTGGATTTCCGGGATCTGGTCGGGATTTGACACGCACATTAGGCTCGCCGAGGGAATGAAGAGCACATGTGGAGCTTCCTGGCGCTTCTGTTTAAATAAGAAATCTATACCTTCACAAAGGATACCACAATCTCAGTCAAAGGCTTGCAGCCCACTAAACAATAAAATAAAGACCTATCGATCCCAACAAGAGGATATAGTATCAACGGGGAAAACTCAGGGACGAATCAATTTAAATGCGTTTTTGATGGCAGATGAAAATTCAGAAGAAGTAGTAGTTTCCATTATTGAAATGCAAAGGAACACAAATACTTTGCGAATCGTTACCTTGGGGTTACAAACATAACTTTTAGTTTACAGAATTGAGTCACGAGTTGAATTAATAAAGTAAGAGCCTTATGCTTCCCCTCTGAGCTGCAATTGGTTTCCATCTCGTCATTTGGAGGATTGAGGGGATCCGAGGCAAATCGAAGGGGGCACCAAGATGCAGCTGAAGAAATGGATACTCATTTAGCACAAAATTAATAATTATATTAGGTTATTTCCCCTGCCCTTTTCAGAATTTCAATTTCGAAGTTAAATTGAATAATATTGAAGCTGGAGCCACCATTTCCCTTCTCATTCGGCTTCGGAGAATACGGATGACTGGCCATCCGAGGAGTCCGAGGACAGGACCCAAAACTTAAACTTGAAGCGGGATAAGCCGATGCAATCAACGCCATGCGAAATTTATTTTGTGCTATACAAATTTGCGGAGAGTGCGGAAGGGGGAGTCGTTCAATATTGAGAGTAAGTGTGTATTCTAAATGCGAATAAATGAACAATAAATTGCTGGCAAGCAAGGGCAGATTGTTGCGGTTCCCCGTACTACAGTACTACAGTGAGCACTCCCCGCCCCACTTGTTCTCTGCGCCACTCGAGGAGGCATCTCCATGTTGCAGGCAAGCCGCAATTTATTGTCCGCCTAATGCGGGCGAACGTGGAACCGAACTCCAACTGAACTCCAACTGAACTCCAACTGAACTCCAACTGAACTCCAACTGAACTCCGGACCGGGGAGGACATGGTTGCGCCTCGATTTACGGCAGATTGGCTCCCGCAGAATTATACTTTACACTCGCCAGATTCTGTTTGCGCAGTTTGTTTGCTGTTCGGGGAAAACAAATAAAGCGGAGGCTGTGACGGCTGCAATTTCCAGCTGGGATAATGGATAATGGATAATGGAGTGGCGCCCCCTTGAAAATCGTGAGTGGATTAGTGCGATAATCTAGGTTAGTTTTTATTTGATGCTCCTCGGTGGAGTAAACACTTCTCCTGATTTCCTGCCAAATCCATTCCTCGCTGATTTGCGGCAACCGAACACACACTTTTTCCGCATCGCAGATAACCTTTGGAGGGAACTCTGGTTTCCCCTTCCTAGTTTTAGTTTCAAGCCCTGTCAAATTCGCTTACTCGGAGGCATTTGCGTCCTCTGAAGTGCCGACTGAGCCCCATTCACGCTCGGCGTTTTTAGCGTTGAATAATGAAGGAGCTCAGACCCAGACCCGCGGACCAATGAGCCTGTAGACCCCTAAGCCCGTGGACCCGTAGCCCGTGGACCCGTAGAGCCGCAAAGTGCGCCACGGGTTGGCTGTCAACCGTGCACTTGCAACTCGCAACTCGGAGCCCTGCAGCATTGGTCCTCTGCCACACAGAAAAGAAATGTGCACTCGAAAAAAAGTCCACATAATCACTCTTCATTGAGAGGAAGCATTTCAGAACGAAGCATTTCCGAACGAAGCATTTCCGAACGAAGCATTTCCGAAGGGTGGAAAGGAAATACAACCGAATGCCTAAAGTATCCGCTCTGGTTTTTTCCCAGTGCATGAAATGTGGGCGTGAGTGTGAGTGTGGGAGACTTTTGTGAATTTTCAAACAGATGCAAACGCACGAGTGTGTGTGCGAGTGTGTGCGCAAATGTGTGTGCGAGTGAGTGTGCGAGTGTGTGTGCATGTTCCATAAATAATCTGCATTCGCAATACAACGTGCACTGTTGGTTTTCCCCCGGTTTTTCCCCCTGGATTTCCCGATTTTCCACTGTCTCGGCCACCACTCCAACGCACTCACTCAACACGGAGAAAAATAATTAGGAATATTCTAAAGTCAGAGCAGAGAAATCGAACCAAATAACAGCTAGAAATTGAACAAATTTTCAAACATAAGCCAAATAAGTTTTAGTGAGAGTGTTACATCTACTAAAAGTCAAATCTTGGTGCTTTTTTAACAGTGTAGCCCTGCATTTCTTGCGGCCGGACTGTCATCGTTTATGAACGCGAGTTGAGCCCTTTCACTCCGTGCTCGTTCCACCGAAGATGGCCGAAAATGGATGCCAGGATGGAT